CGCAAGTACTAAAAATAAAAAAAGCGATCCACCTTTCTGACCTGTTTACGTGCGATGTGACCTTAGCGATAAGGACCCCTTTCACCTTTCTCACTGGATCGAATTGTCCCGAGCACGTAATGCGATAGACTAAGCTACACATACACTTTTCAATCCAAACGACGCACCTGTTCTACGTTATCTGCTGCACCCTATTATAGGGACGCTGTAAATATATGTACATACATATTATATGTGCCGCACAGCTGTCTATGTTGATCGACAGTATTATGTCTTAATTACCTTTAAATAACATCCCTATAAGCAGTGACGAGCACAGAGGTTTCAGACAGGGTACGCACTAAAAAACTTGCCGATGATTATTACACTTAGAACTCAATAAACACGGAAAATCAAGAGTTAGAGAAACGTTATCATTAACAATAATAACATCTGTAAAATATGATAAGTTTAATATAACTCTTAGCTTTAGGTATTTTTAGTTGTAGGGTTTTGGAACATTTTTGTATGGAGCATATATGTATGTATGTACAGGGCCTAAAGGTTCACTGGTACCGTTCCAAAGTATCTCATACATATATATAAATACAGGGTGGCTTTTCTAAGTGTATTTTTTAATTAAATTCTGGACAGAAATAATGTTATACATATATAATAAATGATAAATATTTCAAATCACACGTAAGTAATTAATTAATTAAAATACGAGCAGGAGGCGCACCAGCTGGTAAGTGATCACCGCCGCCCATGGACATCTGCAACACCCGAGGGCTTACAAATGCGTTGCCGGCCTTTTGGGCAAATTATATTAGAGGTATTACGTTTTTATTTTATTTCGCAGACATTAATTGTATTACATTACATACCGGTTATTGAAATTCTAATAGGGTTTTCAAAAACCATACGACACTTTTTTAAATCTTAAACAGTGGTGAAGGATACGTGAGGAAGGATTCGCCCATTTTCAAGATCAAACTGTCTAATAGTGGATCAAAAATAGATAAGGCCATATCGAATCCTATCCCTTTTGTTATAAAAGGCGATAAATTTAGCATATTTCAAATCGCTCATGTTCATCGTATGTTTTTTTCTCAGAAAATTGTTCAGTCTTCATTAACTTATATATTTAGAGATAGCGTTTAATAGTAATTTCATGATAAATGACTTGTTAAATAATAATAAACACCGCTCTACTATTTACAAGATAAACTGTGAAATCACACTCAATGGTGCGATCTGTCTCTGGAGAGATTTATTATTGATTTCCCGCGAACAGATAATACGCAAATCACCTCGCTTGTACATCTCAGTTAACGCAAAACGAATCACGCGACGTAAAGTAACTACGTATTGCTTAAGTAGAAAATGAAAAGATCTCCCATAAATCTGTCTTTCACAATTTAGAATTCGATCGATCTAAGAAATAGAAAAAAATAAATCATGATAAAACTCAAGCGCTCATATTGAAGCATTTTTTGTGTTGGTATAGATATGATATGCATTTTAGCAGTAAGTAAAAATATCGTGAGGAGAATTCTGTCAAATAACATGAAAAAAACACGTAGCCTCTCGACCACAACATAACTATACAATAATTACACAATGTGCACGTATAAAATGTCGAAATGGTATTATACCAAGGAGTTAAAGTTAAGCCTGTTTTACCAGCATTCGATACGTCGGGATTTAAGTTTAAAATGAACACATTATAATCCGTAAAAATAATTCTTTATAATAATATTATTAAATGGAATTATTTTTTATTATTATTAATTAATAATTTTTGTAGTGTTCGCGTAAAAATAAGAAAATAATTATAACGAATACAGCTAATGTATGCAAATTAACTTCGACGCATGGTAGTTAATTTGCCCGATGCCAACTGATAGAGGTGTTAATTTGATGAATGGTAATTAAATGAATAATAATAGCGATAATGACGATTTCATTTTTATTTAAATAGGCACGTGGTTAAACATATTTGTTTTAATGCCATTCTAACATCTGCAACAGCAAGCTAAACGTAAAGCGTAACGTAATAAATTTTCTATTGAAAAAACTTCAAATATGTGTCTCTCTATACATTTTCTATTTGATATAGAGGATTTCCCTGATATATCTACGGAATCCAAGGTCCAAAACCAATGAATTTACAATGGGACTACATGCAAACTAAACCGAACCTAATGCAAAAACAATTTAAATCTGTTCGTAAATGACAGTGTTTTAGGGTAACAATCATAAAAAGTGCGAAGCGGACTCGCGCACTAAGGGTTCCGTAGCATTATCTACAAAAACGGCAAAAGTCACGTCTGTTTTATAGGAGCCCCACTTAAATATTTTTTTTACTTTTTTTAATTACCAAGGTTCATGAGATACTACCTGGTGACAGACGGACAGTTGGACAGACAGAAAGACTGACAGCGGAGTCTTAGTAATATCCCTTTGAGTGCGGAACCTTTCTTTAAATTCGGTTGAAAATACCGAAGAATACAAGAAGGAAAAACATAATTCTCTCACTCAACGTCTCTAACGAATTTCGTAAATAGGAACCGTCCATAAAGGTATAAAAGTGAAAATACCATATGGAAGCAAGGCTTTAAATGATTATTTCTTCTATCTTAATGTTCCAAACAGCGCAAGTGATTTTGAGGATATTTCAACGAAATGGCTAATTTAACACAATATTAGTAAGATACTAAAGGCAATGAGATAAAATGTGTATTTCACGCTAAAGCTATTTATGTTCCTCTGCATCTGGCAAAGCTTTATAGTTCATAAAATGAAATTAAAAGCATAGTAGTGTTTCTTATGTATATCATTATTATTTCTTATCTTTCCCGAGGCTCCTTTGTTATGTTTAAGCATTTTGTTAATACAAACAGATTTACCATTTACATTACAATAGATTTAGCAATTTGTTATTACAAACTTATTAATCGATTTGAGGGTCGAAGTTGAACAGAAAACCTACTTAAAAAAGAAAGAAAAATCAAAATACAGGTAAATCATTATTATACAGATAAATATATCATATATATTTAAATGTATTAGTATATCTTTTACAATTCTAATAGGTTGGGGAAAAAGTTTCTTCGCATTTTCTATGAAATTTCAAAACATTTTTTTAAAGTTTATTTACATTTAACTAAAGTATGTTGATGTTGATGGTAGGGGCATGATCCCATTGCTATCGAAATTCTGGGGCTTCTGATCAAAAAACCGCGACAAGTGATTTTGGCAGTCCTCTCGTGATGTTATCCTGACACTGCCTAAAGAATTCTGAAGAGGCCAAAACAAGTGGAAATCTTAAGGTGCAAGGTCAGGACTATACGGCGGATGCATTAACACCTCCCAGCCAATCTCTCTTAATTTTTGCTGAGTGGCTAAAAATGTGTGAGGTCTAGCGTTATCATGATGAAAAACTACACCCGTTCTGTTGATTAATTTCGGCCGCTTTCTCTCAACTTCTTGCTTTAATCTCATCAATTGTTCGCAGTAGAGTTCAGAATCAATGGTCCGGCCTGGCGGTAACAGCTCATAATGAATAATACCCTCCTAATCCCACCATACGCACAGCATTACCTTGTTGCGAGATAACCCGGGTTTCGCTAGTCTGTGAAGCCTGACCAGCCTTTGACCACGATCTTTTTCGCACGTTCTTGTCGTACGTGATCCACTTTTTATCACCAGTTATCAGGCCTTTCAAAAATGGTTCAGTTCCATTACGTCGTAATAAAGAATCGCAAATGAGTACACGGTTCATTAGGTTGCTTTCAGTGAGCTCATGAGGCACCCAAATATCAAGCTTTTCTGTGTACCCAGCTTTTTTCAAATGCGCCAAAACTGTTTTGTGGTCAATTCCCAGTTCTTCAGCTACATTGTAACTATTAATATGCCGATCTAGCTCCACTTTTTCAAAAATGGCATCCATTTTATCCGTAACAGGGCGCCCAGAGCGAGGTGCATGTTTGTCATCAAAATTTCTGGATTGAAAACGCTTAAACCAAATATGTGCTACTCTCACAGACACTGCACTAGGTCTATAAACATCACTATTTTTTTCCACGGCTTGGGTTGCATTTTTACCTTTTTTGTATCGAATTTCTTCATTAGAATCACTCAACTTAACAGTAAAAAAATAAATAAATGAAAATCACGTATTTTCCTAATTTGAATTTTGAATTATCTTTTTAAAAATTTAAACTTTTTAATGATACCAAAACCAGCCAGATACAAATGGTATAGCCAAAGAAATTATATTTAATAAGTACATATATACTATTTGCGAAAAGACTTTTTCCCCTACCTAATATTAAAGTCAACATTAATATTAGTTATTGCCAGACACAGTATGACAGTGTAGATTTTCAAATTTTAGATTTTAGAAATTCATGCTTGACGAAAACTCAGTTTCAGAGATATTAGTATGTTTAAGGTCACATAATTCCAATTAGTAGTTAATAATAATTTATTGTTTATGTCGTTTTGAATAATTTTAGTTTATTTCAGACCCATTCACGTATACGCTGTGAAAATTCAAATTCAATTCATTAAGTGCTATGTTAAATCATTTAAAAATGCAAGATCATCCAGGAAATTCACTTAGCGGAAGTGCGAGATTTTGATTTTTCGCTTGGCACAAAGATTTTCCCTTACTTAAAAAGTTGTCGTCAGAATCAGTCTTATTAAAAGTATGTAGGTCTATGTAACAAAGTATGTATGTAGTTTTGCCTTTCTGTATATATAATTATAATTATTTTTTTTTATTAGCTTTCCTGCATTTCATGTTATGGTACCTATTTACTATGTATAACTTAGTCTCTTTCTTTTGTTATTTATTCTTTTATTTGTGCACCTGCATCAACTTCGCTGGATTCCCCGTTATGTTGGCTGGCACAAAATGCCTTTGCCTATAATTCCACCTTGGTACATAGATTTTTTTATGCATCAACATTTTAAATGAATAAATAAATATTGTATGCGAGCTTAACAAAGGCATGGGGAGAGGCTTCGATTGCACGGCGGTCGTGCATTCGGCTGTTCCCGTGCACCCTCGTGCGTTTCCGCCGTTCCCGAACGCATCCCGGCTTGCCATCCGGTTACCAGGTCATTGGGGCACCGCACACGCGCCTGGCTTGTGTCCCATCGGAATAGCGAGACGTGGAGATGTGCACCTTATTACGTGAACAACAAGGGGCATTTTAGCGAGGCTCGTTGGCGGAGTTCTACTCAATATAGTAACGATTCCATTCTTTGTTATCAGGTAGGGAATAAAATCAATTATGCTTAGCTACTCTCCGCGAGGCTTTGGCTTTGCAAATGATATTGAGTGTTGTGAAATTCAAATTTATTCAGTCGAGCATATTAATGGTGGCGTTATAAATTATACTTAGCATGGCCTGTATTTCATGGAAGATCGTTTAGTATTTTATCGTTACTAAAGGCTAATGTTCTTTAGGACTAATGTATATCGATATAACGTCCTATATACAATATGTATACTACCTTTAGACTAATATTTTCATTATGTTTTATGCTACTACATGGAGTTTCAGGTTCTTTTAAATTAAAAAGCTTAGCGCTCTTAAATGATACAACATTACTGTTAATAAATCCGGTATCAGAGTTGAAGTTTAAACTAATACATAGTTAAACTATTTAAAAGGCATACCATAACCGATAATGTACAGCATATCACGTGCATTCCAAAACTAAAGAGTTTCTGTATTTTCTTAAGATCAGATTAGATCTGACTAAAAAAATGTCGATAACAGCATGTAACCTTAAAGTTAGATGTTCCCCAGCGAAAGATGTTTGAGGATATTCTAACGCACATACAAACTAAAGTTATAAAAACACTTTTCAGGTCCGTATTCGGGTCAAGGTACTGCCTTCATATCGATTCTCCGCATCGACTAAAAATGGACATCGAGTTCACGGGCAATGGTGGAGGGCCTGAGCTGTAAATGCCTAATCGCCCATGTAAGTGAACCCTTACGACGTCACGCGGTCCCATGTCGCCAAGAACTGAATGAGCGTTGTGGAAGGCGTTAAGACGCGCTATATAAGACCAGCGGTGGGTTCCACGGAAGATTCCGAATCCTCTTGCCAACACAATGGGATCAGCGAAGCTTTTCAGGCAAAAGGCCCTCATGACGCCCCGCAGAAGACTAGTCGTTCGCGTCTACAGCACACGGGTGAAGGTGCGACCGTATACAGGTTTATCCCGATCTAAAACATTTGCAGGCGCGCTCTCGAGAGCTTCCTGTTCCGGATAGCAGGGCGGTCGCCTCTTGGACGGCGCCCAGCCAGATGCACTGCGATCGAAACGTTGCGTCACGATCCGTTATCGAACCGCTCGGTCACAACAATATCAGCTCTTCGGGCACAGACGGCGTCAGAAATAGAAGAAGATCGAAGTGTGTCGCCGAGCGGCGCTCCCACCATCCTAGTGTGTTCGGATGAATCATAGATTCGCATGGATAACGGATGGCCGCATTACGATGCAATAGCGAAATTCAACATTGGGTTTAAGAAAGCAACGTTTCCTTTAAATTTTGTAGGAGCAATAAATTACTGGTATATACTGAAATCGAGGAAATGAGCGTGGGCGCTGAATCTAAATAAATAAAATTAAATGACCTACGCAATTCTATGAAACTGTATTGTGGATATATTGTTTATTATTTTTATTTAATTTAGATTTGCAAGATTGTCACTCGGCAGTGGTTACAAGAGTGTTACAGATATTCAAAAAATTGAAGCAATAAAAAACTGTAAAAGACGGCGTTTAATGTTTAATACCTATACATTGGCGATTCGGCATCATTTTGAGAAAAAATAACCAACTCAATTATATTTCAAACGAAAGTAGGTAAATAGTATATAGAATAAACTTTTTACTGCATCAAATGCATTGCTGTATGGTTTCATAGGTCATATTGGTGATTTACCCTGTAAAATAACCGGATGATGCAAGCTAGTCATAATTGCATTTGATAAAAGCTTATTTTCCTTGTACATTATCAATCTGTGGCAATCTGGTGAATCTTAAGCCGCGGCAGTTTCAGTGGCTTGCATCAAAAGAATTCTGTCTCAATTCTATCTATTCTACCAGATAATAAAATTTTGAGAACTATGTTTTAAAGTTTATTTTATCAGACCAGTGAGCTCATTCAACATCATCATCATTTCAGCCTGTTTTAGTCCACATAGGTCTACCCCAAAGACTGACAACAAGCACTAACTATACTGAGGCAACTGCATCCGCCGAATTTCCCGCGCTTTTGCGTAGTTCGTCAACTCGTCACTATTGGGAAGGTTGTCCTGTACTGCGATGGCCAATACGAGGCGGCCACTCAAGAATCTTTCTTCCTCATCCATTATCGGTTCCACGAGTTACATGACCAATTATATCAAGTTCTCCTCCTCCTTGCCGTTTATAGATGAACACGTTAGTACATCTATTACAGTGTGCTGATAGAAACGACGCTGAAATATGGTCAGTCAAGTGTTGTTACATCTCCATCCCAAAATCCCCGTCCGGAATAGCGGACTGAATAATGGCCGAACGCTAAAACGCGCGCATTTCGAATCGATCACCATCGCGGGAGAAATTAGAACGGCGGTCGGGAAATACAACGGGGGGATAAATCTCCCTAAACGCGTGTGCGCAGACGTCAGAGCGAATTCTGATAGACTAAAAATACGCCTGACGTCGCTCATTCAGCGTTCCATAGACGCGCCGGACGATTTATTGCCAGCGAACCGTTGCTATAGACAACCGACATGCCTCGTTCGATGTATGTGGGCGCCACAAATATTAGAAACATAATTATACGCGTTATGTTTATGCACAGGTTGTTATCGGCAAAGTTTTTCAGAAGTTTAAAACAGAGGCGATCTGTTTTAAGATAGGAATATCTTAATACTAGAAATGTTTGTTATTATTATTTGGTAAATATTTTTGAATGTTGTCAAATGATGTTCTGACGTTGGAATTTTGTTCCTGACGTTTCTCCGGTTCTTCGTTACCTTGTACGTTAGTCGAAATTAGACTAATAATTGAGCAGGGATTTAAAGGTTACGTAGCTATACAATTTTCACTATGTAAAGTAAAGTAAAGTAACAGCCTATACATGTCCCACTGTTGGGCAAAGGCCTCCTCTATACAGAGGGTATCAGGGCATAGTCCACCACGCGGCCCCACTGCGGATTGGCGGACTTCACATATCTTCGAAATACATTTTTTTTTTGTTATTATTTCGAAAATATGCAGGTTTCCTCACGATGTTTTCCTTCACCGCGGAGCACGTGACAATTCAGCACACAAAGTTAAAAACTTCATTGGTGCCGGCACCGGGGATCGAACTCAGGTTGCTCGAGTATATATTGAATTAAAGGCGAGCGCCCGGACACTGAGCTATCACGGCCCTGTAAGTCACTTTAAGTTAGAATTTATGAAAGTATAGTTGCGACCTTATAAACTTTCACAAACTGACATGACCACTGATCGTAATATTTCACGAAACTCGGTTTAATAAACTAAATATTGTAAATCAAAATCCTCCACTGTGTTTTATAATAGTCTGACGATGGCGATAAACTCATAAACTACTTAACGGATTTTCATAACGTTTTCACCAACGGACGGCGTGATAAATGAGGTTGTTTGGGTGTACAATTCATCAAAGCTTTGTGTAGTAAATTTGCTCAAATATGACGATGATTGTTCAAGATGTCGGCGAAAGTCAAGCCACTCAGATCAAAATCGGGAAGCAAAGCGTATAATCAGCTCTCCCTGCCAAGCCGGGTCAGGTTGTTTGTTATAAATAAAAGTCATGTGTAAAATGCAGTACTCGCCCAAACCTAGTGGCAGGTGTCAATCAGGAATTGCTGTGTACGCATAGAAACCAGATGGATGTAGCATAGGCCCTCAAGGAAACCTCCAGCGGCACATACTCTTCCAGGTACCTTGTGCATTCGTAAAGTATTAACAGATACTCCAACGCGCACATACCGAAAACTCATACAAAAAATTTTTCCTACCCTACACCCGAGCGAAAAAAGAGGTCCTCATCAACCAAGGGTATGGAACGGGCGAGGGTTCGCGTGTTCTCAACATCCACGAAGCACAAGGACTAACATACGAGTCAGATTTTCATGCTAGCTTGCTTAAAGCTGTACGAAAGAGTTCAGCTTGTGTTTATTACGCAGACGACTGTAAGGACGTAGCAGACCGCTTTATCCATGGCGGCATCAACCTGTAGCATAAGGAACTATAAATTTAATATAAGGGGTCTTTAAAATGACTTAAAACAGATACACAGCTGTCGCAGAGGGGCTAGCAAAGACAACAATTAAATCTGCGACGACGAGGTCTCCGTCCACTCTTTCTCAAATCCAAAATCTATAGTGAATAATAATTATGCAACAACCATAGTCATAAAATTGTGAATAAAAAAGACATAGGTAAGTAAGTCCGTTATAAGCATGAAGTCACTGCACCACTTGCTATATCAAGCCACCGGTGAATGTACGCGACGGTGACGGTACAAATATCAAATATTTAATTGATAACAAAATAAAAAGCAAAGCAAAAAGAAGTACGGACCACGTGTCTGTAGAAGAAGCTTTATTTATTAAAAAATAACAGTCATAGAAAACATATGATGTAGTGATTTATTTCGGTATCGCCTTATAGAAGAGAGTGAAAAACGAGTTGGACATGATCATAATCGTGTCTTTAAAAGTTCCGCCTCGTGTGTTATATTTGGCACGGTACGCTTTGCTACGGTGTCGAAAAACAATAATGTGTTCAGCGCTTCATAATCCATTAGGCGGTATTTACATTGTGTCCAATGCAGAAATCCAGACCAACTTTCATATTGATAGCCAACTCAAATCAGCAATTTCAGCTCGTCAAAATAAGTTTCATGATAAATATTTATAGACCAGCGATTATATAAAAGAAGATAGATAAAAATAGCGTAGATAGCTTGGGTATTTAAAAAGTGTATTTTCAATAGATTAACAATGAATATTGGAAATTAACAATTAACAACGAATAAAATTTTGGCATTTCATAAGAACGGGCAAGCGTCTATGTGAATAAATAAATATATTTTTGATTTGATTTTGATTTTTGATTTGAATAACTAATACCTGTTTCCGACAATTTGATGTCAATGGCGTTACTAAATAAGGTCACGGAGAAAACGATGATTTTGATTAAATTAAACAATGAAATTATTTAAAAAAAGACAATGAAATTAAATTAAGACTTATGTTTAACGGATGCTGAGTGAAGTATGATTTTGCATTTCTCCGACTGATTAAGTTAAACGTAAACAAATTTGTGTTTGTATATGATATTACAACTTGTTACGAAATTCTAAATGTGTCTTGCGCGGTGTAAACTGGGAAATTGAAATTTTGAAACAAATAATGTCATACTTGCGTTTTAAATCACTTACATTTTTCTTACATTTGTCTACCGATTATGAGTCGGGACAATATCTGATATTATCGCTTTTTGGTTTTATATATTTATATTTAGTACGATTATTACTATGTAGTAATTCATGTAATGGACCATAAATCATAATTGGGGAAAGTGAGAAGCAAATAGCCCATGATGGCGATTATCTGGAATTGGGCCAAAACAAATCATGACTATTGGGTAAGTACAGAATCAACTTTATCCAATTTTGAAATATGTAAGCTAATTGTGTCTCTTTATACAGAATATTATATGTATACAGGGTGGCTTTTCTAAGTGTATCCATTTTTTTTATTAAATTCTAAACATAAATAATGTTATATAAAAATGATAAATATTTAAAATCACTCGTAAGTAATTAATTACATTCATTTGAACTTATCTCAAAAAGTTCGTGATTTATACGCAACAACTAACACGCACACAAGTTCGTGCACAGTAAAATTTAGGTATTTATGAATGACTACCGCATTCTCAACACATTCTGTTTTTTTTATACTATATTATACTACCGAGTCTGAACCTCCTATGTAAATTTGGGCACTTCTCAAAAAATTTCCCTGTATTAATACTCATAATAACGAAATCTAAGCTTTGCAACTTGAAGAAACCGCAGTCTCAACAAGTCTTTATTAAACAAATCGTCAAGAATTGGAAAATATATGAAAAGGCTAAGCTTAGCCCTAAAAGGGTTTAATGCCCATACACTTTCGAAAGGAGGTAGGTATTTTGAGGTATAGAGATTAAGTACTAGTCCAGACCCGAGTTCCGCGAGATACAACATACCCAAATGTGGAGAAGCGAAGAGGTTAAATAGTAAATATAATTGTAGTTCATTTAAGCCTTCAAAGTCGCGTGATTCGCTCAGTGTCCGGGCGCTCGTTTTATATTCAATATACTCGAGCATCGAGCCCGAGTTCAATTCCCGGTACCGGCTCTACATATATAAGGTAGAAGGTCAGAACTTG